AGTCAGTAACTGGTTTATACAGTGATGATCTCTGATTATTGAAAGACAGTCCCAAGTAGCCTGCGAGCTTTCATGGGTTGCGGCAGGAGCAAAGTCGCGAGAGATGAAATAAAGCCTTTTTGATTAGATCGACAGTTAACTCAGCTTCGCTTCGCTCGCCGACTCTCGCTTCGTTTGCCAACGGCTTTGCTTGAGCCACCAACGATGAGAGCCTGCTCGAAGGCTATATCCCAAATGACATGTTGAAGCGAAGTAATTTTAAAACGGTCAAAGTAAATCTTGCGAATCAAAAGTAAGACGCCTGAAAAAGATCGAAGATAAAAGTTGGAGGGTTAAGACTTCGAGCGATTCAGTTTCTTATGTCCTCTAAATTTCCCTCATAGCGTTTTCATTTTTTCTCTCCCAGTGGTGTCGGCTTGGAAAATGCGTCCCCATGGATGAGGATAATTTTGGTATTCCTCTTCCTCGTCCGACATTCACACCAGTACATGGTGGCTGGAGTGCTTGGAGTGAGCTGAGTGAATGTTCGCGGTCTTGTGGAGTAGGGACTCGTCAGCAAACAAGAAAATGCAACAACCCTGTGTTAGTGTTGAAAGTCACTACTGCTGCATTTTACAATTTCATTCAATTGAAATGTCGTTTATCGGCTGAGAGGAAACTGGATACCAGGGATGCGGGGTGTGCGAAGTGTGTCCCATATCCCACGCACGCAGTGTGTCCCATCAAGCCCCTCGCGCTGCGTATTACTAGAATCCACTCTCTTCTCAACCACAATCACACAAAAAATCGACTGAATGCCGATCTAGTTGTTTGGTTACAAAGATTTCTGAGCTGTCACTTGTGTCTCAAAACAATTTCTAGTAAATATCCTTGCCAAACTCATCAAACTTTCAGATCAAATGTATTGCAAGAGTCCGCGTTTTGAAACCGTAACAAAAGGAACCAGAAATGGCCTAGTTATACTGAAAAAAATGAATATCGTTTACCGGCATCTTGTAACCAGTCCTCAGTATACAGTTGCTTGAATAATACTCGTATTTTCCGTACAGTTGTACCTAACTGAGACAGTTTTCTGTTTTCAGGCCCAAAGAGTACGGACGACCCTGCGAGGGGAAAAGTATTAGATTTGAACTGTGTAATGTCATGGTGAGCTAAGTATTCTGCATCTGCTAAATTGTGTACATTATAACAGCTATGTAGTGTGTTGCCCAGCCTAAGCTATGCAGCAATGTGAATCACATAACCGGTTCGAATTGTTAAGCAGCGGATTACATTCTTGTGCCGTCCTCCCGCTGAGTCAATAACCTGCTAATTATTTGACCGTGATCTATAAATTTGTAATCAGTTTAAGTTAGCCATAGAGCGGTTTATACTTGAGTGTCAAAAGTGATTCTTATTCGCTTTGGTGTTACATTACTGCGCTAAGTGATTGGCAGATTCGCGCCACTTTGTCATCCAATCAGAAGTAAAACAAAAACCAATCATGACTCGCTGGCACACGCTTTCCCGCGCTTCGCACCAGCAACTTGTATATGCTTTGAGTCTTGATTGGTTCACTGGTTTGTCTGTGTTCTTTGTGTTTGGTCACAGTGATCACTTTTGTTTTGGTTTTACGACACTCAGTTGAAAACATGTCACGCGCGAACCCCCCGAGAAAGAAGAGCTCAGCAGTTAAAATGTCCTATGAACAGCAACTCTTTACAGACTACTTCAAAACCACTTTCGAAGCAAATACCTCTTCTTAGGTCAATACCATGGGATGGCATTGGTCATACGACCATGACTTTTAACCAGAATCCGCGGGGGGTAATGAGCAGGGGTCATACGACCATAGCAGTGTTATTTGACCAGGTCTCACATGATTAACTTGACCATCACTCGTATTAACTTGGTTGGCGTTCATATCAGGACTGTCCAGGCCAGCTGTTAACGATTGAGCAAGCACGAAATGAACAGTGCAAGAGGCGTGCGCCTTTGTTGTCACCAGAAGTCAACGGAGAGTGGTTCTCTTATGATGTTTACAAAGGTGAGAAGTTCACGTTTTACTTGTCGATATGCGACAGCAAAGCTGATATCAGTCCTTTATATTCTCATCTTACCTTTACTAAGTAATTCAGTTATAAGTAAGCAGCAATCTTAACTGGTTCGTATTAGCCGTTCATGTATGTCCTCGCTAAAGATTGTCAGGGATGATCTAAACCCTCGTCGTAGAGGTGTTTGTAACTGACATTTAAAGGACTGTTGGTCATAAACAGCCTAACGCGCCCATTTCTTTGATATCACATTTCCGGGATCAGTTAAACCAACTTGCAACTCTTCCACATAAACAGACTCTTTCAGACGTAGTTTAAGTGGACTTCGTGAGATTTCCTTTCCGTCTTAGCAAAATGAAGAAGTACATACTTTACAGATGGTGACCCACTGAAATGAAAGGAGCTACAATACGTCGCAGTTTGCGCATCTTGAAAAGTTTAGCCTAAATTTTTCAAGCTCGTCGTTCGAAATCCATGTTTATCTTCTCCATCCTTAAGCATCCTTCTTTCTTTATGCGGGTTTACTTTTATCTCTTTGGTGTTTTTCTATCTTAGTAAACTGCTTTTTTCAGGTTTCCTTCAATTTAAAGGTAATTTTGTACCTGGACAAAATAGTTCAAAATACTGTGACTGAGCTCCTTAACTAATAACATCTTTTGCAGGTATTTATCTGCACAGCAAACTATCGGCTAAACACGTTCTAGGGTATATCACTCATTCCTCATGTTTCGTACATGGTTTGCGTCTATGTTAAGCTATTAGTTTCTTTTCATCTCAGCTAACATCGACTGCGACTTTGAGACTAACTTGTGCGGATGGACAAATGACCCTCATGATAATTACGACTGGAAGTACCACAAGGGCCGTACTCCTACAGCTGGCACGGGTCCCTCCACAGATCACACCAAAGGAAAACACGGTGGGTATTGATACTGAACTGTCATAAAAGGCTCAACATTAAGTTATCACTTCATTTGTAACTAGACCCTTTGCACGAACCGGTCATTTCATGCAAAATCAGTCATGCTGGGACACAAGTTACACAGTGGGACGTAAGAAAGCAGTTGCTTCATGGTTAGTGCGCTCGTCTCCGGATCGAGCGGTCCAAGTTCTGCCCTGCTCGAGAACATTGTGTTGTGCTCTTGGGCCAGACACTTAACTCTCACAGTGCCTCTCTCCACCCAGGTGTGTAAATGGGTACGGTGAATTTAATGCCTGGGATAACCCTGCGATACTCCTAGTCGCCTCATGTTACAGAAACCGGGGTAAGCTCCGGCCTGATGAACCACTTAGCTCTTATGCAGACTTTACTTTTTTAGTCGATACCCGTACTTTGCTTGTGATACATTAATTCATTCATTGCCAGCAGACAGGTCTTCTGATGTTTTTTTTCTAATCGTCTTTATTTTGTAGGTCATTACGTGTTTTTGGAGACCTCACGGCCCGTAGATCCAGGATGGAAGGCCAGGCTCGTCAGCAAGTACATAGGCATGCGCGTTGCGTGCCTTAAGTTCTGGTATCATGCATTTGGTGATGACGCCCATATGGGTTACCTTCAACTGGTGGTCAAAACAAGTACGGTAGGTACAGTGAGTCCGGGAGGGGGAACTCTCATATGAAAAGGTCGGGGGTGCTCGTCGGAAAATTTGAATTAAACCCCTAAGGGAGAACAATCTGGGCGTGGCTTGAGCTTTATTTGACCCCTAAAAGATACCACTTAAAATGGAATAGGCTTGATTACCAACCGCTGCTCTGGAAAGGAGCCCGCGTTGGTCGACCGAACTCGAGAGACGGGCAGAAATCGAGACTAAAAACGGAAGAAAGAGCTTTTTTATTATTACTTCTTCAAGTGTACCCCAAAAGATACTTTGACAGCTAAAAATACTGGCATTGTGCCATGAACACTCTAAGTGACTGATTTATACCCCTAAGCGAGACGACGAGGATCCCCGACGACCTTTTCACATGAGAGTCTTCACACCTCCAGGACGGTAAGTTCTGAACGCCTTGAGGAGTAGACTTGCCACAAGTCAACCTCATGAGTTTCAGGGTGGAATAGCTAAGCTAGCGGACTGATCTGAAAGTCTACTTGAGGGGTAGTGCAACCGTAAATTATACAGCGTTGTCGAGCAAACTTTTGCAGAATATGTAAACTATATTATTCCAGAGTAGTTCGACCTGTAGGAAGAAACCTCAGATACAAATGAATCAAACAGACGCGGGGTTGTTTGAAGCGTTCGTTATTGCTTACCATTTTCTGTTTGGAAAACATACATCATACATAGAGCCATACTTCATTTATTTAAACACGGTAAAATCTTCAGCGACACATTATAATAAAAAAAGAAGCTCAATAGACCACATTCGTATTCTCGGTATAGGACTGGAACTAGCTTGCAACTGAGGCTATGCTGGGAATCTTTTCAAATGTAAATGACGTAAAGTAAGCTAAATTTGCTATGTGTTCTTTTTGCAGGACGAAAAGGTGGTTTGGAGCGTCAACCGAAATCGAGGAGATAGATGGGTGTTGAAATATGCGACGATATATAGCATGAGACCGTACAGGGTAAACACAACTTAGTATTCTAGTATCCTTTAAGACCGCCTTTGATCAAGATTAGTAAGCCCTTCAGGGGCGGATCTATGGGGAGGGTGCAGGGAGTGCGCACAGCCCCCCACCTTGAGATGAAGCCTCCTTCTTCGTATATATTCGCTTTTAAAATTTGTTTACCTCACCAGTCAGTTACGCCATTCCTTGGTGGTGCACGCCCTCCTAAGAAAAATCCTGGATCCGCCCCTGCCCTTGGTTAACTTTTACTTATCCTTGATTAGCGTTATACTGACGCCAGTCGGATTTCATAGATTGTAGATTACTACGCCTAACGTGTATTTCTGAGGTAAAAGAGGCAGCGTCGTCTTTTCTGGACGCGGCGCCGACGCACTGAAGCTCGCGAAACTCACGCCTGACTGCGGCGTTTGTTCCTCGTCATACCGATGAAACAAAAAACCGTCTCTTTCAAAGCATTTGAGACCAGTAACTTGAGGGTTTGATTTATTATCGAAAACCTTACGTTTGCATTTCGTTTCTAGTTCATTTTTCAAGGCGTCAGAGGTGACGGTTATCTCAGTGATTTCGCTTTGGATGACATCTCTCTCGAAAATAACCCGTGTGGCCTTGGAATGTTGGGACTAACAACAATAAACAACAGTAAGATTTTACAAATCATTGTCTTTTTGTTTTTCGCTGGAAAAGTTCCGTAGGCACAATCACGAGTAGCTCTTATTAAGAGTTAACAATTTGATTGCAAATGTTCAAAGCAAGGTGTTTAAAGGAAGTAAAAGTTGTTCAAACTAATTAGGTTTTAGTCTCGAGAAACGATGAATTGTAGGGAACAGTTTTTAAACCAACAGCTTATAAATAAGAATTAGATTATGAGCTCGAGATTTATATTTTGCCGTGCGTCTTTTCAGTAATTGGATTGGAGCTGTATAATCTTAGGTGACTATTGAAATGTACCTTATTTTGCTGATTTTCATATTAAAACCTTTCACTTTGTTTTTAGAAATAAATCTTAATCCCTGTAAACATTTCTGTGAAGCGACTAAAGACGGAAACAGTGTAGACGTCATACAAATGGATTTAGAAAACGGGAGCCGTTGTCACGACAGTTTGAGTTCATTTGATGTCTGTATCCAAGGAAAATGCCAGGTATGTCACATGAAGTAGGTAAAGAAAATACTTCAACAAAGCTAGAATGCGGTGTTTTGCTAGTCCATTATGTTGAAAGCTAACATAATCCTACTTTACTTAAGGCTTGAACAGCTATGCTTGATTCACAGACTTCAATCTCTTTACAAGAGTGATCGCTTCACTTCAAAGTGGACGCAAAACATTCATATTTCTAAATGATATATCAAACTCAAAAGTCCGTGTTTGACCACATTTCCAAACACCGAGAAGGAAGTGGAAAATGCGACGCGTAGCAGAACATTTTTGACGAACTTCGAGTTATTTGGTAATGTAGTCAAACACTGTCTTCAGTGTTTGATATATCTTCTCAATCGAAACTAAAACTAAGGAGAAAACGGAGAAATAAAATCGTAAATCTCTACGCTAATTAAGGTCATACATCCCAACACAGTCACGGTCATGATTTCCTTTGTTTGAACTTGATGAATTATTCCTGAGTTTAAGAAGCTCTTGCTCAACTTGATTTAGTGTCTGTACTGTACATTGACAAAACAAGTGCTGGAGACTTCCTTAACACTTTTTTTATTGCTGTAATCTCCACCCTATAGCAAGTAGGATGTGATGGTGTTATTGGATCAAACAAAACTTTGGACAGTTGTGGTGTGTGTAATGGCAACAACAAGTCATGTTCACAGACTAACGGATCTATCACTACGTTTCCGAAAGAAGGTAACATACTTCATTATCAATTCGTGATCGCTCTGATAACTTGTCTTATCAAAATCGTCAAAAACTTCAAATGGTTTTCTCGCCATAATTTTCGCTTGAGACCTCGTCTCATCTGGTGAGAAGACGACGGGGATTGGTAAGGGCAGTTGTGGGAAGGTGGGGGGGAGGGGTTTAGAGGGAGTGAAGATGTCGTTTTTCTTGCTCAAAAAGAGTAGCGAGAATTGTCGATCCCCTTTACCGTTTTCCAGATCCATCATATACCTCATTGTAATAAGTTTAGCTACGAGCATGTTGTGCGTGACTGGTGTTGTTAAGTTATATATAGAGAGGATATTGTTGTTATTGACCTCAAGCATGGCAAACTATTTAATAGAAGACGTTTGTTTAGCCTGCAAAGTTCTGCTGCTTGGGTCACAAACTATCTTAAAATTTGCCAAGTAAATATAACTTCTGATCACTAATGCATTGTAATAAGTTTAGCTACGAGCATGTTGTGCATGACTGGTGTTGTTAAGTTATGTTGTGCGTGACTGATGTTGTTAAGTTATGTTGTGCGTGACTGGGGTAGTTAATGTGCGTGACTACTGTAGTTTAGTTATGTTGTGCGTGACTGATGTAGTTTAGTTATGATGTGCGTGACTTATATTTCAGATCTTCAGACGTTATTAGAATGTCCAGTTGGTGCTACCAATATCATGTTGGAGGACTCATCCCCAAACTTCCTCGGTTAGTCTTACAAATTATGTATGCTTCAAAAGGTGATTTTGTGTTTTCTTTGTAATGGAGATTGTTTGGCCAGAAGTGTGTGTCGTGTAACTTACAATAAAAACGACTATTTCTGTTCGATACAACTCGATATCACATTATATGTCAATTAGTCTTTCAGTCATACAATTTAAAATAATTGATCAACAGTTCTTGACGGCATGGGAGTAAAGAAGCCGTATTTTAATGGCGCCGCAGAGGAGTCCGTGTCCAAAGTGTATAAATTTGCTGGCTCAAAGTTCACTTACAGGCGACAAGGTCACATAGAGGCGCTAAGTGCACTGGGCCCAATTAAAGACAGGATCATAGTAAAGGTTAGTCACGTGCCCCGTGTAAATATAACTATTTGAAGTGACGTTCTACTGGATCTTAACCGTCGTATGACATCATGGAGACTGGAACGGTGCCTGGGACGTTGCCTGGGACGGTGCCTGGAACAGATAAAGCATTGTTCTTTACCCTGTAGCTGACAAATTCCCGAAAACCATTGAGCCACACGTCTATATTGCATTTTAAATTTTAACAGTCGAAACAATTTTAATACTTATAGGCATGTCTTAATCATAAATTGGTATTTTTATAGCCTTTTTAATTGTTTAGCTCGAAGATTTTAGCACTATGTAGCTACTCTTAAATTCGAGTTTAAATAAAGTTTATGTAATCACAACCTCTCTTTAGAGCGGTTTTCAATTGACGGTGTCGTAAATCCGATTAGACTACTCAGCCGACCTCAAACCGTACTAAAACTAAAACTAAAACCAAAAGCAAAGTAATGGCCTGGTTACTTTCAACACTCAACTGAAAACCGCTCTATGACGAATGCGTTACTTTGGAGACCAATTCAAATTTCTCTCGTGGCTTTTTGAAAAGATAGTCGTCTGAATATGCAATGAAATCAAGTAGCTTAAATGAAGAAGATGTAGCTATGTTTTCATACTTCTGCCTAAA